CCCTTAGTAGAATTAAAATCTCCTTATGTTGTAATGCAGGTTTTTGCGTGGATATGAATTCGTGTGAAGTTTATTACATTTCAACTTAGTGCTTAAGTGCTATAAGAGCGAAAGAACTTATTTGTAAGCCATGGTCATGGGAGAGTGCTTTAAAGTAATGAAACTTTACAAGCAACTAATGATATTTTCTGAGTTACCTTAAAGGATGAGTCTTTAATATTCTTTGTAACAGTCGGGGTAAGCTCTAAAATTTTTCAGTCCTTAGGGCACGAACCTGAGAAATTTTCTGTCTGATCCTGAGATCTTATGTTCTCTTAGTTATCCTGCACTGAGGTAAAAATAAAGTATTCCTACAACAGCCCTATTGTGGGCCAAAGGAGTAGTGGAGAATAAGGCTTCACAATTTCATTACAAAGGCGAGATTGTGACAATGTTGTTAGCGTTGTGCACAAGACCGCCTTTATTTCCCAGACAAGCCTGTACCCATCGATTTGAAGTTCGAATTCTAGTTTTTCCCAATGACAGCTCAGTGCCTTTCCCCACTGAGCATTCATAGTTCAGAATCATTAATGCAAAACTTTAAGCAACTTCTAGTTTTCTGAAATCATTAGAATTTTCAGTCTATAAAAAATTGAAAAAAGTTGCTGGAATCAATGAGGTGATTCTTATTCGATGCACTAAAATGTTGTGTCAATTTCAGAAGGATTAATTTTTTTTATATATTTGAACTTGCTTTGCCTATTTTAACCGAAGTAGGGTTTTGCAGCGTCATTGTCCAAAAAATTCGGGACCCCAATTCTTTTCAATTTTGATCTTTAAACAACTCTACTTTAATTACTTTACTTATGGTTACCCTATAAGCAAGTGACTTTGCGTACTAAAAGTGCTTCTGACTAAAAGGCACTTGCACTGTTGAATGCAAATTCTTAGAAGCAATATTCTCTGCTGTATGTCAGACCATTACAACTAAGTTTATTTGTATGGGTGAGCAAGTAAACCAGCAAAAACTTCATCATGGTACACGATAAGCAAGCATACATTTATGCGGGCAAAATGACCCGGATAAGCAAAACTGTTCCAAATTATAGAGCTGTTAAAAAATAAGCTCTCAGACTGTTCCCCATTGTTGCTGTAGATCATGAATGGAAAACATTGTTTGATAGATTTTGTTAATTAGGAGCGCTATCTTTCGAGAAACTTTATATAATTAATATTGGAACTTGTTGAGAACTTAGCTCTAACTCAAGTGACAAACTATTCATTAAATTTAAATTTTCAAACCAATGTTAATTTTTTTTTGGATACTTAGAGTGTTGAATAAGTCATTTAAAAAATACAAGAGACCAAGATAAAATTCACATCATTTATTCAATCTTAAATTAGTAACAGAAATTATTTGTTAAATTGATCAGAACATCACAATGACTTCCTCTTCACCGGTAAGGAAAGTCTCACTCATCACAATTCATGTTTTTTTGTTGTTGTTGTTGTTTTTTTTTTGTTCGAATATGTGATACGGCAAGAGGAATGAATAAAGGAATAGGAATGAAGCTCCCAAGTTTTTCTTTGTCTTTTTTTGAGCATATCCTCTCTCTCCACTCCCGCACTTTGTAGTAATAAATCACATAAAAACTCTTTTTTTTTATCAAAAATTCTCTTGTGTCGAAGAAATAAATTTTCAAATTGTAGGTGTTGGCACAGTTCGTTAAAAATGCAATAATAAGCCTGTAGAACTTTCTTCCAAAGCAAGCATGATTTCACTTCCATGAAATGTTACACACACATATGAAGTTTAATGAAAAGAAACTATAATTGATGTGATGATTTGTGATTGAATTTTTTATTTAATAAATTTGTTAGAGAATCGTGCAAGGAATTTAGTTTCGGGTAGAAGAGGTACCTTCTGAAATACTTTTTAACAAATGGATTAAATTTGCATCAGTAAGTAAGCTACCGGAAAAAATTGAATAAAAGTAAAAAAAAAAAATAGTGGAGAAATCATTGAAATTTCATCAATAAAACAAATAATAAATAATTGGAGGCATTATCGAAAGAAATGTTAACTTTTTTTATTTGAAAATTAAGCATCTTGAAATAGCAAAATTATTATGTATTATTTTGTTTAACTAGCATTTTATCGTGGATATATTTGTTTTATTTTAAAAGTGTCGAATTCATTTAAAACTTTAAATGAAGCACGGAATTTCATTTACTACAAATAATTTGTTTGGGTAAAATAATCCTGTATTTAAAAATAAAAAAAAAATACTATTGTTGGTTGCAAACTTGATTTTACTTAATGTTAAAACCATTCATAATTTATTTGCTTAACTAATTGTGGGTACATTTGTTTAATTGTAAAAGTTTTAAATTCATTTAAAATTTTAAATGTCGCATGGAATTTTATTTACTACACATTATCTGATTTGGGAAAAATAATCCTCTTTTTTAAATAAAAAAATTACTTTTGATTACAAACTTAATTTTAGATAATGTTAAAACCATTCATAATGAATTTTCTTAACTAATTGTGGATTCATTTATTTGATCGTGAAAGTTTCGAATTCATTATAAATTTTAAATGAGGCATGGAATTTTATTTACTATACATAATCTAGCACGGAAAAACTAATCATATATTTAAAAACAAAAAATAAGTATTGTTGATTACAAATGTAATTTTTTTAACGTCAAATTTCATAATGAAGTAATAATGTTTGTTGTAAATGTATTTGCGAATAATGCTTTTATTATAGATAGAATATTAATCTGATCAATGTTATTACCTCTTCTATTCTTTTGATGAAATGAAAAGAATTTTATTGATATTGCCATAAATGAAACAATAATTACCACTTTTTGGCAACAATCTCATCCTTATAGTGCAGTTCGCATATTATTTTAATGAGCACTATACATTTTAAAAACATATTTTCTTTACATCTTGTAGAGTTTACTTATTTACATTTCCCATATTGAAAAGATAAATTTAAACCCATGTTTACAAAGTTTTTAATAAACGTTTTACAAGTAGAGAAAAACTTCAATATTTGAATTTACATTTGTGCGATGAATGTATATATATATATATGTATGATCCACATATAGAAGCAGTGTGTATATAGAATGAAAGTTATCGATTAGTTTCATTCAATGAAGAAATTTAAACAAAAATATAATAGTAGGGAAAAAGCAAACCTCTTAGTATAAACAATTTTATAATAAAAACTGTTTTGAAAGTATCATATTAATATATTTTTCCTAATTATATCATATCTGAATAATTTAATCAGATCCTTTTTAAATATATTTAAAAATATCATTATAATATCAGCATACTCATTAAGTAGGTGGGAAAAAAAGTGCCCAAAAAGAGTAACATAATTTAAACTTTTATAATTACTTAATACATTATTTTTATGTATGTTTAGGAATGGATTTTTAATTAAGGTATCCGACTGAATGAAAATCAGCAATTTTGATGAAAGTTTCTCTTTTTTACTGTCCATATTTAAACTTTAGCTCATTATCTTTCCAAAACCCCTTTAAATTTTTATCTCCGATTTTTGGAAATGAAGCTAAGAGTTGTTTTTTCTTATGCTGACAGACGAAACCGATGCGGGGAAGTATACTCACGAAAACGGAACTAAATTTTTTTTGTTTTGCGTTGAGTACTTAAACCCTTATTTATTTGTTTATATATAACTTTTAGGCAAATAAATCCATGTCCAGAGATTAATTTTCAAATTATCAACTCTTGTTGTTGTCAGAATTGTCTTACATTTTAGAATTTTCTTGCATATTAAATGCGTTTTCTGAAGGGATTTTCATTTCGATAAAATTTGTATACGCTAACAGTGTGACATTAAAAATTAATGCTTTTAAGGCCAAATTTGTCCTTATTTTAAATAAAATTTTATAATTTTTATAAAATTTACTTTAAATTTATAATTTTAGCTCCCCTGCTTAAGAAACATAAAATTAAAATTTTAATTGAGCCTTTTTTTATGAAAAATTGTATCAAAAACAGTCGGATGCCTTAAAAGTTCAGTTATTTCTTGATTGAAATCTACCAGCTTTTTTTAAAAATGTTTTTAATATTTTATTTACATAAGTAGGAAAAATCAAATAATTTCGAACATTAGGTTTCTGATTGCTGAATATAATGTTTTCGTAGCATTACTGAAACGTTATTGTTTGTCAGAATTTTACTTAGAGTCTTTTATTTTTTGGTGGATTGGAAAAAAGTATTTATCACTACATTAAATTTTCTTGCTGACAGAATAAAGCAATGTATTTTCATAACTTATATATAATGATTCAAGCAAGAATTAGGATAAGGCTTTTTTGTGTATATACCCTGTATTAGTAAAGCACTTATGCTTTTCCTAATCATATTCTATAAATGTATTATTTCAATATACATTATTTGGAGTATTATCTTTTTATAATAAACAATAAATATGTACAAGAATGATTTATGAGTTACGTAATTTTAAAATTACACTTCCAATATTTTAGCTTTGAGCACCAAAAACCATAGATGATATTTAGATTCATCAATTTATTACTAGATTTTAATTATAAATAAAAATAAAAATTATAGATCTCTGCATAAAGTAAATGCTGAATATGGATAAAATGGTATATTTTAAAATTTCTAAATTTATGTTATCAGGGAAAGACAAATGAATAAATATTATGAAAGGATAGAGTATTTATTTACTTAATAAGAAGAATATTATTTTAAATAAATTATAACATAGAGAAAATTTTATAATTTTTAAAAAATAATCATAAAAAGAATTAAATCATTTGTAAAGAAATTTATTCTCTGTAAAGTGCTGACCCTTTTTTTAAAAAAATGAATAAAAAATATAAAAAGTTCAACTACAATTTTAATTTTTTAAAATATTGATTAATTTGATATTTGTATTTTTCTTAGAAATTCTTATTTTGTTCTCAATTTTAATATTTAAGAAAATTGATTAAATCAAAACTAAATAAAATAATAAAAATTACTAGTAACACTAGAATTAATTTTGATTTCTTAATTTTACTTTTAAATTTTTAAAATAATCGATTGTTGTTACACAAAAGCAATATTCTCTTGATCCATTTTCGTCAACATTCTCTTCGTCTTCAATTCAGATATTCAATTAATCTGAGCTTTCAATGATTCCTCTGATCTCTATACGAGACGCAAACACGCTATAAATCACAACCATTGTTTAGCGATTACGTCAACGATGAAAATGTGATCCATATTCTTCTGCGATTTGATTTCTGCTGTGTATTGTTTGCGGTTAACAGTTATCTGAATTTGTAAAATCCAGACGATTTCTTTCACGTTGAAAAGATAATTGGGAAAGGCTTGAACATTGGGAAGATGTGCACCATGTCGATTTAAAGTTGTCGTAGTCCATTTATTCACTGCTTTTATGAACGCAATAAGTTGCCGAGTTCTTGTGATTGCGCGAAGCTTAAACAAGAGGCTTTTAATGGACGGAACAAGGGGTACCAATTTGTGAACATTCATTTTTCACTGGTTTTGTTGGTCATATATTTTTCTTTTGATATATTCACCTGAAAAAGAGAAATATACTCTAAATTAAAACAATTAACTTTTTTCAGATTTACTATCTAAATCAGACTGACAGTTTTCAAAAATTTAGAACTGGAAAACAGTTAAGAATTTCTTGCTGCGGATTCATGTGACTAGGTATAAATTTTTTACCCGTTCCAGAGTTTATGCTTTTAATTGAAATTTTTTTCGACTGGTAGCGCTGCAGATAGTATATGTGTAATCTAAAAATCAACAATTAAAAAATCACATCAGAACAATTCACGTTATGGCATCTAATTTTGATTGATGGTAGATATTCGGAAAATACTGCAATACGATTTTTTTTCGTTAAAAAATTCCAAAAATTATAATGACATTTTTAATTATTTTGCTTTAATTTACAAGTAAATTGAATCTGCAGGAGTCATTTGCTAAAAATATTGATCTGAAATAAGAATTGTCTTATCACGCGGAGTTTTTCCAAGAATTGTTTTTTTACTTCAACTGATTTCCTGCTACAAATATTTGAAAGCCGTCAGTCGAATTTAGAATAATTTATATCGTAAACAATATTACATGAGGTTGGTTGCATAGTATCTCAAGAGGTTTAAACCGCTCTAGTATTTCAGAAAAAAATAATTTTCTTTGCTTTGGAGATGGCTTGTTACTACTTTAAAATTATGTACCCGAAGTTTTAGCCAAAGAATATATCCAGGTACTCGAATTTGGAATTTTTGTGTAATTGTTTGCAGTAAGCTGCGTGCAAAACTTCAAAAGCGTAGTTATTGAAGCTACAATTTTGAAGTCCGCTGAATTCACTAATTTCTTGAACAAATCTTTAATGATTGAGTTCAAATTTAAAATTACTATACAGAGAAATGTAGGCCTATTTTTTTATTGCCTAATATTTTGTTATAAACAAATTTGTGGTGATTTTGTTTAGGAATTTTAAACCGTAAATAAGAATTAAAAAAAGATAAATAAAAAAAAAGCTCGCTTGTCGAATTTCCTACCATTTTTTGTTCCCATTCTTCTGTATAATTACAAATGTTTTTGTTTTCCATTGTAATTAAAAATAGTATTTGCTGCTAATTAGATTGTACATTTTCTAAAAAAATTTAGGCTTCATTGCACGCCGCTTTGTTTTGCATCTTTTCAGAAAAGCGTTTAAAATTTACTTTAGCAGTTCCCTTTTACAATATACTTTTACAGTTCATTTTCACAGTATAATTTTACAATTCCCTTGTTGTCTGATAAAGGACTTTTCTGAAATTCGATTTATTTTCTTATCTTGCTTAAATGATAAAAAAAATCCCTCATTTTTTGCTTATTTTTGGAATTTGCTTATTTTTAGGAAATTGTGTGAATTAATAATTTGTGATCGTTGCTTATATTAGTTACACTTAGGTGTTTTAATATATGCTTCACTTTTCACACTTCACATTATGTTTTTATTTTCTTATTTTTTTTTTAAAGAAAAAATTCATTTTAAAGCTCTTGAGTTACTTCTTACGGTAAATATTATAACACGAGTTAATGACAAAACAACGTAGCATGGTATGAGTTAATGACAAAACAACGTAGCATGATATGAGTTAATGACAAAGCAACGTAGCATGATATGAGTTAATGACAAAACATGAGTTAATGAAAAAAATTTAGTAATTAAAGACTATTTCAAAAGTATTTATTCTTTTCTTCAAATTAATATTGATATTTATTTTATATAATTAATTGAAACCGATATAAAGGAGGCATTTATAACTCTAACGCTCTCGAGCATTAAACTTTAAATTTTTCTGGAGATAAAAAAAATTTTAATGATAAATTTTGAAATATAGCATTGAAATAATGCAACACATAGAAAAACTGTTGAAGTTTCTGTGTATAGTCACATTCTGATGCAAATTTGGTATCTTGTTATCTTAAAGTATGAAGTCTTATTGTTATATAACACTTACTTTCAAACATCGAAATTTGAACCTGGCTGCAATTTCCGAAAAACGATAGCTGTGGGATCATCAGCTAGTTCTGGATAATTGTCTATATCGTGAGCACTTGTAGCGTAGTATCCGGTCACTGATCCTTTTTCCAGGAGTTCCTTTCTTTCCGACGATGTCCAGTCTCTGGTACCCTTGAAACCGTTTCGAATGAGACTGGTCTCCATTTGCCAGGCGTCATCTGCAGCCTTCCGTTTTGCATGACGAACTAAACGTTTCCTTTCATCTTCGGAGCTTCCTAAAAATGTGATTAAAATGGTAAAGTAAATTGGTTCCTTTTTTTAAAAAAAATTACTGATACACTTGGAAAGAGAAATCGTTTGAAGTTTAAAATAAACTATATTTCAGATTCAAAAAGTTATTTTAAATGTTGAGTCTTAAGTTTTATAGTTTATGTTAATATTCTGATGTAGTTGTCGATTTCTAAATCTAATTGCATATTTTATTATATTTTATCATAGCATATCATGTCTATATTTTATCACCCAATACCCAGCAATGGAGAAAAATGTAGTATTTTTTGATATTTTAAATTTTGTAAAGGTAATGATTGTCAAATATATTTTCAGGCTTTGCATAATGCCTTCTTTGGAAATAAATTATTTCGGAAATGCATTCTACGTTATTACGTGCCTTTATTTTAATATATACTATATGTTTTATGTACTACTTGCTGTTTAAGTTCTTTCGTACCAGGATTCTTCTTAAAAGATGAGAACAATAGTTTTAACAGCAGATAATTTGAATTCTTTTTATTATATTATGTGCACTGAATATTGATTACTTATGCTATATACTTTATGAATAAAATTAAGACTATTATAACTTTTTTTTATTGATTATTGGGACGTCAGATTATCTTAAACTATAAATTTGTAGGAAGAACTATCGGCGCTGCGCACACTACATTTTTTTTGATTTCTTAACTAATTTTAACTTGTTTTAACTATTGTTAACTAATTTTAATCTAAATTTGATGTGTAAGAAAGTGGTATCGTTTTGCGGAAATATTACCTAAAAACAATAGAAAATACTTTAACTTGAAAAATTATTGTAAGAATCGATAAATAAGTTTAAAACATTTTTTATAATTTGTTTTCGTTAAAATAATAATGCGTTTCAAAACACTAAACTTCTTTCTCTAGGAATTTTTCACACAGTAGTAAAATCTAACTATTTCTGCCAATATTTAAGCATATTGTCAAGTAACTAAGCTATTTAAATTTTCAATTCTATTTTCATTCGTAAACATCTGATTACTACTTAAAAAGCTTTCTTCTTGGTCGTTGTATTGCCTCAGTTAACATCATAAATATCCAAAATTGGCCAATTTGGTAAGAAATAATATTACAAATATTGTTTTATATATTTATCATAGGAAAAAATTTATATCATAAATTTAAGAACTTGATCAAGCTTAGAGTCACTTTTAAATCATTAAAACTTAAGTTTACACAATTAAAAACATTACTAATTTTCACTGTTACATTTTATAGACTTATAAATGTAAAAAAATAAATGGCTCAAAATTATAGCAAAGATTGTAGTTCAACTTACCACCATATCGTATATTCAGCAACAAAGCTGGGCTTCTTAATCTCAAGTCCACATGAGTATCACCAGCATGCATAGTAACATTGAACATTGTTCCCAGTCTTTGTAATTGGTCCCAGTCTTCCTGAACTCGTTTCTGATCCGGTTGAACGAGAAAGAACGAATCCTGTCCATTCAAAGAATAGCGAACATCCACGAAGGCAGTATCGTTAAGAACTTCGGTCATGACATCTCGAAGAATGGGACTGGCATCACTCAAAACGTGAATGTATGCCCGACCTTCGGATGTGGACATGAGTAGGCCATCACCTAGAACTGAAGGTAAGTTGGCGAACTGAGCTTGCAGATCAGCTTGGTACCTGTTCAAATGAAAATGATGAAATGTCATTTTAGATAAATTCCACATTACATGTCAAATTTTTTTTAATGCAATAGAAGTTCAGTTTTCGTTGGTAAAAGTTTAAACCATCTACCCAACATCAATGCTTTTTGTAATTGGACAACTTCAAGTGACGTCATTGTAGGTAAATCGTGGCATTTGTCGATCCAGAAGCCGATCGGGTTCGACACACACGCATGACATTGCTTACAGGTATCCAATTAAATCTAATTAAAACTGCATGGTTAGGCATAAATGCTTCACTTCTTTTCGAGTTGCAAGTACCCAATTAGATACCAGCCAGTAACGTCATCGTATCTAAATCGGGGCATTTGTCGATTTAGAAGCCAATTAGGTTCGACACACACGCGTGACACCACATACAGGTATCTATTTGAAAATGATTTACATCACATGGTTAGGCATACTCACTAAATTTCTTATCGGGTTGCAAGTATCCAATTGCGTTTTAATGCAATCTTCCATAATAATAAAGTGATGAGAAAGTGAGTGTGCGCCTCTCTCATAACTTTAAAATCGTTTGCGCTGCATTGCTAATTTTGGATAGTGGTTAAAAGGGGCAATTTTAGCCTCCGAGCCTAAAACTTGTTCAAAAATTCCAATAAGATCGTACGAATCTGAAGAGAGGAATTGCCATTGTTCCTATGCCAACTAGGTATTGTTTTAAAGAAAACTGTAGATGATTCTGTTTTATCAAATATTTAAAAAGATATCGTCATTGCTGTTTGCAAACTTATAGCTTTCATTAACTAAAAAGTTTATCGCACGTTTTCTATTATTTTATGAGACACCGTTGTAATGAAGTGTGGGTATCTCGATTCTGATTGGTTGTGGTAATGTGGCATTTGTTTACGTTAGCAACTGTTCTTTCCATTCTATTTCGAGTAAGCCAAGCTCATCAAGTATCGATTCTCTTAAGGGGTACATTTTCTATTCTCATTCACAAAGATTTCAATTCTTTCACCATGTATTTCTAAACACAAAGAAAGGCACGAAACCATGTAGAAAATGAACTACTTTGAAAGAAAAATTAATTTATGTTTTTCAGGAGTACTAATTGATTTAAAAGAAAAGTAAAAAATTGCTATACCATTATTTTTTGACACCTATGATGCTCAATTAATTTGTAATAGACAAGGGAGGTCTTAGTAGGGAAAAATTTAAAAACGTTTTATGATATTTTCGTTGGAAATCTTCAATTTTCCTTTAGTTTTACGAATTCATTTAGTCAATTTTGACATTTACTTGTATATTATTTAATTTATAAATAGCTTTGGTCAAAAATACTAAGCTAATACAGTTTATATAATAAATTTTTTCCATCACTTTTTAAATTTTTTCGAGTGTGGCCACCTTTAGTCACTATTGTTATTATGGTAATTGATCCAGTTTTAATAGGTACCAAACATACTAATATAGGTTTACGAAGCATTATATTATATTTTTGGTATCTTTTATGTTTGGTATCTTTTAGAACCCCACTATTACTGTGCAGTTTTAGTATAGATTCTGTGGAAAGAGGTATTTCACGATCCTTTAGGAATGAATAAAGAGGAAAAAATAATTTAATTGTGGTAAATGTTGGCTATCACGAGACAGCCTCGAGTAAAGGCATCATGCCAAATTATACTGAATACAGTTAATCTTCATTATTGTGGGACAAACAACTAAAAAGGTGCATTGCTTAATCTGAACGTGTTTGCTTAGGTAAAAACACCAGGGACGATAAAAAATAATAAATAAATACAAGAAATCGAAATTGTTTTAGCTTTATTTGTTACGTGGATATATTTTTTTCAAATTTGGACATTTTTTTCAGTATTGTTCGGGACTGATTTATTGATTATTTACTTTTTGTTGTTTATTGATTATTATTCAGCTAGTAAAAAATAATGTCGATGTTGCTTAGATGGTTTAAACCTTTACCAACAAAAGCGTCTAAAGTAACATTTAAAACAAGTGATCACGAAAAGTTTTTAATAAGCTACGATTGTCGAAAAAACTTTTTGCAAGGTATAGAACAAAGTATTTTGCTACAACATATAGCAATCTCATTTATAAAGATATTTTTTTTGCGAAATTAAAAAATAGTCTTTCAACAGGATTCTACTTCAGCACAAGACACTAGGTAAGATTCCAAACGCATAGCACACTTTTATGCCTTTATTACAACACAAGTGTGGCACCCTTATTCACCTGTTAGTTATAAATCCCATGGGTTGTTTCAATTGGTTGATCTTAGAGATACGGGTGTGGGCTACGATTCATAAAGCCTTGGGATTCTTTCAAAAACTCCTTGTGCAAGGAGTGGAATGAAATAGATAAAATGCGTTATTGATTTTAGTAGAAAATTTTGTGACACACTAACAGCTGTGCAGTAAACCCGAAGACAATTAACTTTTAACTGTAGTAATTATGTAATGCGTAGTAATGTGTTCATGTTCATTTGAAAGTTCCTGGTCAGACAGCGTGTATAACACCTAAGCTTGTACTTCTCTCTCCAAACTTCGACATCACAACCGTTGAGAAGATTTTCAGTCAGGATAGAGTAAACGTTCACCTTGCTGCGTATATACGCAGATTGTTTTGTTTACCGCCAGGATCACACGCAACCAACCAGCGGGGAGATGAGTCTTAACCATCTGCACCGCAGGAGAGGCCTGTTGAAAGTGAACCATGTTCCCTACGGATGTGTTAAAGTGAAGTTTCATTTTTTAAATAGAGCGAAAAAAAACAGAAAAATAAATGAAACTTCAAGTACAAAAGATAATAATATTCAAAATTTCATTTATGGAATTGTCCGAAACAAATTAATGGAGCTTCAAGTACAAAAGAGCAATAGTACGGTTTTTTGCTCGTATATATATGTTAGTATGATTTGAAAGACCTGGTCAAGTTAAACCATTTACTACTAAATAATTTGCATTTATATCAACTCGTTAGAATTTATAATTAAAACTTAGATAACGAAGTTTCAAAAAGCATATATTCTTAAACATTCCTATACTAGTATACTTTTCAAAAAGATACTTTGATCTACAAGTTATTTTCTCCCGTAATTATGTCTATATTAAGGCCATTTTGTGACGGAGTTTTTTAGTTGCCTTTGTATCATTAATCTCAGTCAGCTTTAAAACATTTTATTAATCCGAAGAATAAGGTACTAAGAGTACCGCCGGAAGAAGTTCCAAAGAAACTCTTTCATTTGAGCCATTTTCTTTTTGGGAAAGGAATTCCACTCCGACTACCAGACGCATCCTGCATTATTATGAGACCGAAATCTCTTCCAAAAAAAGAAAAACCATTTTTAGAAGATATAGAGATTGAGGAGGTGAGAAAATAAGTTGGAAACGAAAATAAAAAAAAGAAAAGTTGACCCGGAAATGTCGACAACAGGAAGAGAGATGATAAGATTAATGTAGGACGATCTTGAAAAGACTTAAGAATAAGAAGCTCACTTGGAATCTGAAAGTGGAGATGCGCTGAGTCTAGCAAAGTGCTTGGTAACGACTTCCGCTGTGCAGCTAAGTCCAGAAATCACCGGAAGGCTCTGTCTCAGGGTTACTCGGCCGGGCATTGAAGTCCGGTCAGAGAATGGACTGTGGAGATAGTAGTCCATATTGTAGCCGAATGACGACAGCCACTTTGGTAAACCTGAAATCAAAAGAATGTTACTGAATGCATACAGTTATTACTAAAGATTCGATTATTCGGTATTATTTGTAAGACGAACAGATTTTAATGTCATGAATTAAATTATAATTTTAATTCGAAGGCTGGTTAGTCTATTTAATGACCTTTGTTTAGTTTATTTTCATCGAAGTTTAATTAAATAAAAGCCATTTATAATTTTTGATAGCTATTTTGATAAGAGTAAGATTTAAAAAAACACACTCATAGATCGATAATTGAAGACTCGATGGTTGGGAGATTAATTATATTAATACAAATATTCAAGTTCTATTAAAAAATAAATATTTATTTAAAGGACAGAATATGTTTGTTTTATAGTATTTTTTTAAGTTTGTTTTCTGAATCCTTTGTTAGAACTTTCGAACCACTGAAAAGACAACATATGTTTATTTTTTAACATTTTTTTAGTTCGTTTTCTCAGTAATTAGTCAGAACTTTTGATCCACGGATTAGAGAGAGTTTATTTATTTTACAGATTCTTTTTCATTTGCTTTCTTGGTTTATAGTCAGAACTTTTGATCCATGGATAAGACAGAATAGCTTTATTTTACAGATTTTTGTTAAATTAGTGTTCCGTGGATCGAAAGTTTGAACTAAGTAGTTTTATTTTACAGATTCTTTTCAGTTTGTTTTCTCAGTACTTAGTACTGAGAAAATTTAGTCAGAACTTTTAATCCACGGATAAGGTAAAGTATATTTATTTTACAGATTCTTTTTAGTGCTACCGTTAAAGTGTGAAATCCCTTTATTTCGTAGAATAACTAGGTATTTCATGACAAGTCAGTTAAAGTATATGAAATGTTTGACTTCTACGATTTAACTAGGCATTTTATAGAACATCGATTCGTTAAATTATGAAATACGACACTCCAAAGTTCTTTAAACCGGTTCTAGCTGCTTTTAGTCAGTTTTGAACAGCTTTTAGCTATGACGTTAGCAATGACGTGTGTGTAAGCTTCATTCCGATGTTTTTAGACGTAGTTATTAATCTGAGCATTATGAGCAATAATTTATATCATCGGTTTCTCATTATTATTTATCAATTAATCATCCGCATTAGAGATAAAATGTATTTTTCGAGAGATTTTAGCTATTTATGATCAATTAATTTATAAAATAACTTTGAAATTGTTTATTTTTCACTTTAGTGGTCTATCATTATTTTATAGAATACCTAGATAAAGCATGGCATTTTTCATTGATTATATACTTTAACTGATTATATATATATATATATATATATATATACATGCTATATATACATATATCATGCGTTGTTGTATTCGGAGAAAATAAAGAACATTTTTATGCTCAAAAATCTAATAAAGGGATCTTAAAATTTCGGATGACTTAAATAAAATATTCCCTTTTTTCTGAACATAAATTTATTCTCTCAAATGATTATCAACATTTTCGTTTTAAGGTGCATGAAAGAACGATAAAAAGTTTTTAATATCTTAAACTTCTTTTAGTTAATCAAAAATCGATAATCCCACTTTTTAAAATTAGCCTCATGAAGAAATTCTATTTCACGCTTCACGCCGAACTGCCGTAAAAACACCTTTTTTTTATGACCATACCTTGATTTTGTTGTGGTCTCAGGAAGGAATCCATAAGTCTTTGAATAAGTCTCAGATATTGGAAAAAAAAAGAGTTATTGATCCGATATTTTTAAAAATAAAAGCTCCTGCTCCATTATGGCTTTAATTCGAGATTTACTCGATATTTTGGAAGAAGACGTTTCAGTAAAAAGTTGCATGTTAATTGAGTTTTCGCAAGAAAGAAAGCAATTGACATTTTGGATTTTAATGAATTATATACAGGGAGATTCAGTTCAGCGGACATCGTTAGAATTGAGAATTGCATAATAACCTATGGCCAGAAATGTTATAGTATGCCGATAGGGGCGCTTCTCTAATGTAGACTAGCCATTCTTGTGCTTTTGAACTGGTTCATTTATTTATCTAAATTAATTATTTTAACTTTTTTTTAACAATTATAATCTCAAATAGCATTCAAATAGACTCAAAGATAACTGTTTAATTGTACTTTAAAAATAATTAACAAAAACCAAATGTACGGGAAACTTAGGCGCAATTAAACGTCTAAGTTTCCCGTGCATTAATAAAAAGATGTATACATCATCACACATGAATCAAACAGATGTATACGTTACCGGGAATGATCGAAATCAAGAGAATGTCGACTCACACCAGTGAATGTTGACAATCACATAGTCGGTTTGGTGAAAGTCTGAACTATATGTTATATACGATTTGATATTAATTTATTCGTTGATATTATTATATTTATTCGATATTTTAATATCTGCTGTGGATAGATTAGGAGAAACATCAGTGTTCGGAGTACCGGTTAAATGCACGCAGGGTAGTGTCACTTGACCTTAAAAAAACCATTGACGTAGGGCATATCGGGCAGTGGCATTTAACTAGACCTGGCATATCTTTCGGACATTTATCAAATCGACTAACTATTTATCAAATCGACTACAACAACCTACAAATTTGGTTAGTCACAGTAACATATACATGAATCAAATATCTACAATTCCAAATCATTTTTCCAACTTTATTTTTTTTAAATATTTTTTTAGCATTTAGTATTTTAGCTCTTCTCTCGTGGAACTTAACTATATCCATCCATTAATTGTTTCAAACTTTAACAATTGAGACGTTATTATACAGTGGCTTAGGCACTGGGCTATTGTTTTTGAATGACACAAGGATACCAACAAGTCACGAACTTACCCCTCATCCTGGGTTTTATACCCGGTTGTGGCTTGAAGTCTATTTCATTTTAGACGGATAATCATCAACCTGTCTTTGAATTAAATGCCGACCAATGTACATCACATTAACCGGCCATCATGTATATCTCACTGACAACAATGCCTCGTTAGCCTCAAAGTTATAGGGCTTTAAACTTAATGACCTCCACGATAATAACTGATTTATAAAGTAATGTTCTACTTTTACTTCAAAATTGTGGGAGCTATACTTAATAGTACTGAACCGCTTGTGTTGATTTAGAATTATTTTGAATTTTAACTTGATATATTCACTTGAAAAGATTTTATTTTCTATTGAACACATGCTTTTTTCTGAATATTTAATTAGATTTTCCCCAGTTGGTTAATAAAAAAGTGGTACAAGTAGAAGAAAATAATATACTAATTTTTTCAGCTTATGAACATTCAAACATTCTTACATTTCGAAAAATAAAAATATAATTTTTGTGACAAATCGCCTACTTTTCCCTTGTTTGGATTTTGTAAAATAGGTTTTGTTTAAATTTGATTATTTTTGAATAATTAAAGCATTATTAATTATTGCTACGAGCCATTTATTCTTCTTTGTGAGGATTTTATGACACAGGATTTGTTTAAATATTATTTTATAACTTTAGGTTTGAAACAAAAATTGATAAATCTAAACCGAATTATTCAAATTTCATACCAGCCTTACCTATTTGCTGTTACAGTACTTAAATAATATGAAAGTTTTGAAAAAAATTTCTGATTTTTTAACTTACCCATCATCAAATCTTCTTCCGAAGGTCCAGAACTTAGAGGATCATTGTTTTTGAATCTGTACATATGAATATTGTGTGGAGCTCGAAGCACTCTAGATATCTCTTCCCATTCGGGGGACAACCATTGTGCTACTTCTGGCTGGTATGCGCGACCATCGAAGAAAAGAAGTTTAGTGTAAGGATCTCTGATGCCATTCCAGTAGTCAATATACAATGGAAAGTCAGGATTTGAGTCAGAAAGAATTTCGCCAAATGGTGATCTAAATAAAAAGGAAATTTGATCTAAGTAAAAGGAATTAAGAAAAACAAACAACATCTGCATTACTTCAAGTTTAGATTCAAATTATTTTCATGTATTTCATTTAGAAATAATGATATTCAATAATGACTTTTAAATTGAGGATTAATGTGTCTTGTATGCTATTTTTAATGCATGTAATTAATAATGTGCAATTTTTAATTAAGAAATAATTCCACTGTCACAATTGTGATACTCTGACTTTCTCGGTATTGTAATGTATACTATGTTTATATCATTGTTTATATTAGTCTAATAGGCTTATCTCAATGTTGTTTTCCCCACATAGACTATTTTAGACCACATAGACTATTCCACTTAACTGATATCTGTATTTCATTCCCTCTCTACAGGCCCGTCCATTTTACTGATATCAGTATTCCATTTCCCTGTATATTTCAGTCTATCCTACTGATATCAACGTTCCTTTTCCCCATAAAAAACAGTTCATTCTTCTGATATCAGAGTGCAATTTTCCCGTATTTACCAGTTTATTCGACTGATATCAATGTTTCAATTCCATATATAGGCTTGTTGACTGTATAGATTTACTCTACTGATATCAATATTCCAAAACCAGTCCACTGTACTGATCTGCTTGGTATCAGTGTTCCACTTCCATGTACAGATCAATAATTTTTTTATTGATTTCAATTGATCATTTTTTGTTGAGTGAATACCATGTAAATTAGTAAGCGAAAATTGCTATTCAAATGAGAGGAAGCAAACTAACTCTGATGTTCCTCAAATAAGGCAAGCGCAGATTGATTTCAGTAGATAATATTTTTGCATGAATTAATCCTCCTCCCATTTGCTTTGAGAGAACTCAAAAATAACTGCACTGAAAAAACAGAGGTCTAATATCTCTCCGAATTAGATCTTGAAGTTTTGTATAATAACACATTTGTTCAACTTGAGTTTTCATGTACAATTTAAAAGGTGTAAGTAAGCTTTAAACATCGAAAATGGGACATTTGTTTCAAAGATCACTTGCTTTTACATCATTCGTTAAATATTTTCATTACCGATAACTCCAATGTTAGCTCGTTTTGATTTCGTCTGTAATTGCTTACAATCAATAACGAGTTCACGAGTATTTGTGACTGTCTTGAATGTAACTTCGTTAAAAATGTGTATATATGTTTCCAGTTGTGCAATAATGGTATTTATATTTAAGTTTATCCACTCTCTGTAAACAGTATTAAATATTTTTACAATTTAAAATATACATCTATATTTCTTCCTGCTCTGTTAAGTCTAGTTTTTATTTGTCTTAATATTCACTTAGCTACGCTCATATTTCATTTACTAACTCATTTTATTTTAAGAATTTGTGTATGCAACCTAAATCACTGATTCTTATTTTATATTGTCTCGTAAAAATAACTTTACTAATTCTTATATATGTATCATATCTTACTGTAATTATAAATTGTAGTGTTAATAAATAGCAAACATAGTGGCGGCAATTTTACACCAAGTAGTGTAAAAAAACACCCTGGGTGTTCACAGAACCATGAACTATCGTTTGTAGTAGGTATCAGTGCAGTGGAACATCACTTTGTTGTAAAGTAGTTGTCATGTTCTGATACACGACCACACAACCATATTCTGATACACGAAAATTATTCACAATATGCTTAACTCTAAGTTTATGTTTTACTCAAGTAGTACTTTGTGACGAATAATGTGTAGTCATTTGGCGAAAATTACTACAAATTTCTACAAAGTTTTTCAAGTTTTAAAGAATTTAAAATTAAGAGGAAACACTCTATAAATAGCTGATCCCTATTAGTTTATTTCGATTTATTGTAAAATAAATATTTTTTTAAATTCAAAACTAAATTATGTACTTGAAAAAATAGTATTGTTTCAAATTTTGAGATTAAAATGTAATTTGTCAACAAATAAGCTTGTTTTAATCGCATTTTTAATAAAGTCATGTTATCGTGTTTAGGATATGGATAAACTTGTGAGATGACAGCTAGAAAAAAAAATGGATCGAGTAATAGGGTTCAAGATTACAAGTATATTTTCTTGTGATTTTCGTAAGTAATTATTCTGATGTTTATCTTTTTTCACATTCCATGTTGATGTACCACATAGTATTGGTAAGACGAGCACATTGTGAAAGTTTGAAAATACCTTTATATTTTTGTTCGATTCATAACTTCAGTTTCTTTGTATAACAATTGAAATTAATAAATTTTCGATCTCTCTAAAATAATTCGTTGAAAATCAGTGTCTTATTTATGAACACGATTCTGCCTGAACAACTTCTTAATGGCAGCAAATGGCAATCGGTCTCATTCTGAAGTCAAACAAATCTGGTTAAAGTGTGAGAATGTGCGGCAAAGTAAGTGAAATTTCACGTGTGCTGAGTTTTTCACCTTAATAACTCAGATTGAGCCCAGTATAAGTTCAAGACCAATATTTCAGTAATAGACTGACCCCTACGAATACAGTTCCTCTGGACGCTTTCTTATTAGTACAGCACCTACAGCTCTTTCAAAAGAGGAGTATTTTAGTACAATAAAAACCTCGTTTTGATCGCATGAAAGTTAAACAGTCGATGCTTTTATTTAACGTTGTTTTTCGAAGCTCTATCGCCAAGGAAAATAAAAAACCACAGCTTAAGTGCCTCACACTTAAAGCAATGCGATGATTTTAAACTGTAAATATTATCTTGTAGTGAAGAATTATCTGGGATTTAGAACGGACTAATAACTTAACTATTTTAAAACTTATTAAAATTCCTAATCTCCAATTTGGCGACATTTTTTGTTCTAGAGGAAAATAAACAAAATCATTGGCTTATTCTCAGTTTTTTCAATTTTTTATGAGCCCAGGTAAAGCAGCATTGGACTAAGTTTTTAGATATTACAAAATTGGACCACAAACTCTTTTCATTTTCACAAGCCTGAGAATTTTCGCCAAATTGACGTTTTCGCCATTTTCAAAATAAGACTAGACAGCTGTGGCTTTAGATAGGCTAAACTTGACCTAACAGTCGTGAGTAACAGTTGTAGACTCACAACATCATTTCATAATACGACGGAGCCTTCGAAAAACAGCCCTAAGGAGCGCAGCCTGACAGCAGGACGCTATGAAGTCAAAATGCCGCCGTTATTTAGGTGGTTTCAATGGTTATTTTTATTTTATATTTTGTGACATTCGCCAATTATAATAATCATCTTTTTTTATATTTGACTTTCAAATTAGCTTAGAAATTGCTGAGTCAAACAGCATGAACTTTTTTTTTGGGCGTATGATTTCATGTTTTTTAGCAGAACATTTAATTGTAATCTATAATCAGTATGTTAAGAGTTAATCAACATATACAACTTTTCAAACTCATTTTAAATTATTTATATACTATAATCATTTCATATAAGTATGCAAAGAAAAACATAAATTACATTTCAACTTTCTAAAAACTATTATTAGCACAGTTAATTAATGCAATTTGTTTACTTTTCTTTCTGCATAATGAATAAATTATTTTTCAAGAGAATATTTAAAAAAAATGTTTATGTGTAAATAAGAAGGAACTAATAAAAAATATTGACTAAGGTATGAGTGGTGTTTTTCTGCTCACAAATTTTTTTTCAAATAAAAGGACTTTTTTTCTTGAAAAAAAAGGAAAGGTGAAAACATGTTTGATTTTGAGAGGTTTTTCAGGATATTTTTTTTAAATACTAAGTTCACTTCGCAGGATAATTTTTATGAAATAGAAATTGCATTGATGTGCCNATCCCCTCCCACGTGAACCTTCACTTTAATGATCTGGCCGATGAACTGGCCAAGGAGGGCTCCAATGATCCCATAGATAGTAGTGGCCTTCTAACATACAATGAAATCTATGCAAAAGTAAAGGCCGACAATAATAGGACTTGGAGGATTCCACCTAGTTGTGAATGGTATCAACAAAATAGTCCTGGGGCTGACCTGGAGCTAAAAGGTGATAGGAAACTGCAGACAGCTATCACAAGACTAATCACGGGTCATACCCGCAGACCCTATCTCCGCATTACCCGCATTTGTTCAGGGTCAAAAGACGTTCCCTGTATGCCTAAAATGTAATGCTCACCAGGCTTCACCTGATCATTTGCTGTCCTGTATGGGACTGGAGAAAAATTTTATTTTGGAGGATCCGCAGATGGTGTTTGATTTTCTGTCGGTGAACGGTCTCCTGGACTTGGTCTAGCCTTGTTCTGGGCCAAGAGGAATAAGTACCACCACCACCACTCTACTGATATCAATATTCCAAGACCATTCCACTGTACTGATCCGCTTGATATCAGTGTTCCATTTTCGCATACAGATCAAAATTTTTTTTTATTGATTTCAATTGATCATTTTTTGTAAGGTGAATACCATGTATATTAGTAAACGAAAATTACTATTCAAATAAGAGGAAGCAAACTAAGACAGATGTTCCTGACATAAGGCAAGCGCAGATTGATTTCAGTAGATAATTTTTTTGCAAGAATTAATCCTCCTCCCGTTTGCTTTTGAGAAAACTCAAGAATAACTACACTGAAAAAACAGAGGTGTTATATCTCTCCGAATTAGATCTTGAACAACCCTAAGTGTTTCGTATAACAACACATTTGTTCAACTCAAGTTTTCATGTACAATTTAAAAGATGTAAGTCAGCTTTAAACATCGAAAATGGGAAAAGTTTTTCAAAGATCACTGGCTTTTACATCGTACGTTAAATATTTTCATTACCAAAAAAATCCAATGCTTGCGCCTTTTAATTCCGTCTGTATTTGCTTACAATCAATAATGAGTTGATGAGTATTTGCGGTTGTTTTAAATGTTGCTTTTCATCTGCAGAAACGTAACTTCGCCGTTAAAAATGTGTATGTATGTTCCTACTTGTGCAATAATGGTATTTATATTTAAGTTTATCCACTCTCTGTAAACTGTATTAAATAGTTTTATTATGTAAAATATTTATCTTTATTTATTCCTGCTCTGTTAGGTCTAGTTTCAATTTGTCTTAATATTCACTATGCTACGCTCATAATTCATTTGCAGACTCACTTTATTTTAAGAATTTGTGTATGCAGCCTAAATTACTGATTCTTGCTTTATACCTAACAGTCATGAGTAACAGTTGCAGACTCATAACATCGTTTCATAATACGGCGGAGCCTTCGAAAAGCAGCCCTAAGGAGCGTAGCCTGACTACAGGACGCTATGAAGTCAAAACGACACTATTATTTAGGTGGTTTTACTGGTTGTTTTTATTTTATTATTTTTGTGACATTCGCTAATTATACTCATCATCTTTTTTATATTTGACTTTCAAATTAGCTAGAAATTGTTGAGTGAAACAGCATGAACTTTTTATTTTTGAATGTATGATTTCATGTTTTTTAACAGAATAATTAATTGTAATCTGTGATCAGTATTTTAAGAATTAATCCACATATACAACTTTCAAACTCATTTTTAATTATTTATCTACTATAATATACTATGTCATTTCATATAAGTAGGCAATGAAAAACATAAATTACATTTTAACTTTTTAAAAACTATTATTAGCACAGTTAATTAATGCAATTTGTTTACTTTTCTTTCTGCATAATGAATAAATTATTTTTCAAGAGAATATTTAAAAAAAATGTTTATGTGTAAATAAGAAGGAACTAATAAAAAATATTGACTAAGGTATGAGTGGTGTTTTTCTGCTCACAAATTTTTTTTCAAATAAAAGGACTTTTTTTCTTGAAAAAAAAGGAAAGGTGAAAACATGTTTGATTTTGAGAGGTTTTTCAGGATATTTTTTTTAAATACTAAGTTCACTTCGCAGGATAATTTTTATGAAATAGAAATTGCATTGATGTGCCTTATGAATATTCATTTGATTAAAAAAAAACATGGTTTATAAAGTTTTTTTTCCTTCTAAATATAAAAGAAAAATGTTGTGGTATACGCATGGGGAAATTCATATAAGTTGTTGATGCTTAAAAATAAGAGTAAGTCTGCTAAATAATTTTTCAGAGTTGTAAATATTTTTATCTTATGCAACCTGTTGGTATATTTTACAACATGCCGAAAAAAATGGTCCTTTTCAAAAACATATTTGTAGCGTAGAAACTTTACACAACTTCTGGTACTTCAGGAATTCATAAATATGATAATTTATGTCATCTCCATTTTTCTTTCAGGGATTAGTTGGAGCGAATAATATTTAGAGAGAGATTATCAAAAGCATTTTTATTAAAAGATATTTGTATTTAAGCTTGTGTTTAAAGATACGTAGCCTTTAGAATTCATGGAAAAGGAGGCATAGTTAAGTCTAAATAAAGGTAATAGAACGTTTTTCTTCATTTTAAAGATGAAATAATTTGTAGAATAACATCTGCAACTGTGTTTATATGACTACTTTATAGGCTTGTGTAGTTTGGACACTATTTATTAAACAATTTTCACTATACAAATGGTTAGAGATCTTATCGACTGTCTGTTGGGTTAGTGATCTTATCGACTGTCTGTTGAGATAGAATATTCATTTAGTCTATAGAATTCATGAAAAAGAGGCATTGTTAAGTCTGAATACAGATAATAAAACGTTTTTCTTCATTTTGAAGTTGTAATAATTTATAGGATAATATCTGTAACTGCGTGTATACGATAACTTAATAGGTTTGTATTGTTGGGACACTATTTGTTAAACAAATTTTACTATAAAAATTTTTCGAGATCTTATCAACTGTCTATTTATTAATATATAGAATTCAAAAGCAGATCTCTTGTAGTTTATTTTTAAAATCCTTGCTAAAAATAGAGTCAAGGAAATGTCATAAATAATTGTTTACGCAAATAAACAATAAAAAAAAGCTACCAGAATTTTTGATTGTCGGAGAAAACAAGGGTTAACAAGTGAATCTTAGGTAATCAAACTGGCTTTGATGTTTTTCATTCCACCTTCTTTATTAGTGATTTAATGTATTTAGATAGCATTTCGTCATTTTTAGACATATTCTTTAAGTCCTAATAGATTTTTTTTGCCTATTTTTTTAGATTGATTCTAAAAATGTGTTTTAACCGCTTTCCTGATTATCCCGAGTGAACTCGGGTACGTATACATTGCAAATATTTATTATCCCGAGTATACTCGGGCACAGCAGAATTCGTCAATACGTTTTGTTTTATCACGTTTTTATTCGGCCGGAACCAAAAAAAAAATAGCAATAATCTGCTGTGATTGGAATTTTGTCAATATTTGTTTGGGAGTTTTGCTATTTGTGGAACTGCAGATGTGCTTTGCACAATTGTATATACGATGGTTGATGAATTTACACAGAAAAAAAGAGTAAAAAAATGGCGTTCGAGAGCGAAAGTGAAAGTAATGCAGATGATTTTTCAGATTATGAAGATGTGAACATGTAGAAAGACTAACATTTAACTTTTTTTCATTTGCCCGAGATATGTTGGGATAGTAACCTGACGGTAAATTAAATATTTTTTACGCATAAAAAAATTGAAATTTCAACTCAGAACTTGTGTATTATGTTTTGTTTTAGTTTCTTATATTTTTTAATGAAAAATAAATTGATTTTTTGCATTTTTTTTCTTCAAAAAAATTGAGAAGGGAAGTGGTTAAAGGCGGTGGTTATGAAACACCCTGTATAGATGACGTTATACTACAACAACTAAAGAAAATTGTTGAGGAATAGATATGAGTCTTTGGACGATTAAATACCAGTTTTATTTTAAATATTATAAAGAACCAAAGTCTAATTCAATGTGATTGAAAGACTTCAGTTTTATTTGAACTTATTTTTTTATCATATATTATTAGAAATATTGGAGTGTGAATTATTTGTTATAGACTACTAAGTAAAATATAAACCGTAATAGGCTACTAAGTAAAAAAAATTTTTTTCGCAACTTAATTCTTAAATTTAATTTCACGATTCTAAGGTACAATTTAAACGAACTCATCCTTCATTTTCAGTGCTATTTGTTCAACAATCAATTTTACTCTACATTAAGTATTTTGCATCACAAGATAATTTGCATGACTTTAGTATAGTGTTAAATTGAACTGTGATTCTGTTTATGTTGAATAATAGTATCATGTGCTTAAATTTCAGAAGGTCTAAGTAGAATGAAAATATCGTTCACTTGGTAACAAACTGAGTTAGCAACAAGGTAAGTCTATAAAATTGTTTAAGGTAACAATGATACGCTTCGAAGTTGAACTCTTCTTTTGAGAAAGTAGTGACAAATATGCTTATCGAAATAAACTTTCGAGAAATTTAGAAAGCGAATTTCAAATATTTTATAACTCATTGTTCTGGAATTAAGCTGAGTTCATTTCCCCATGGTTGAACCATAATATCACTCAAATTTGTTACAATCTTATTTCGGTTTTCAGTTGAACCACATTATCGGATTACTATTGATCACACAATACTGTACTGAGAAAAGAAAGGATGGGCAAAACTGTCAGGATATGATAATATTTACCGTATTTTTGGCTCGATAAGAACAAGGAACTCGGTAATTTTTACCGAACAGCTTTGATAATGGTTTTGGTAAAATTAAAAACAATATATGGCCTTATATTGTGGGAACAATTTTGGTAAATGTGGTGAAATTTGGTAATTTTATCATGATATCTTAAAGCACGATATAAAAAAAATTTATTTGGTTAAATTTACTTTTGAGTTTTATATTTTCACTAAATGTATGATAATAAGAGTCATGATTTTGAAAACCAGAAGTTCCGGAAAATCGTTATCCCATGAACGGAATAGCCATCGAATGAATGGTTTAAAACCGTATATTTTGGTTTTATTAAATAAAACAAAATTTTTTTCTTTTTTTTTTATAACTAAAATGTCCTTATCTTACAGTACGGTAATTTTACCAGAATTATTTTCTCAATGCATGATTTAACTTGCACGGAAACATGCTTTAATTGAAAACCGTATTAAGTTTTGAGCAAATTTGGATCGTTTAGCTCTTTAATGTAACAATGTTTGAAGATTTTCAAAATTATTTCATTGAGAAGTAATTTTTCTAAAAACATAGTGTTTTAATTTCATCAACAGCAAAAAAAAAAAAAAAAAAAAANCCAGTTTAAAAAAAAAAAAAAAAAAAAATATATGTATTTTACCTGATGACTTTTTTCACTACTTTTCCTTCTGAATCAAATATCACAACTGGCGATCCTAACTGATCACAAGATACGAAAAATTTGTTTGCAGATGTCTCCTCCATGTACATCAGATGCCCATTTGTATCATAAAACAAAGATATTGTTGTCTTAGAATTTGGATAATGGACGTGTGTTACTTGTCTTGGATCTTTTGGATTGGTATACAGAAACTGTGTTACATTATGGTCCCCGTTACTCCATGCTGATAATCTATGCATGGCATCGTATACGTAGGTAATGTCATAAATACCTGGTAATATGGCATTGATAAGCTGAGCTTTAGCGTTGAATATAAATTTTTCATTAGCCCTCGATACGAGGAAGCCACGAGCATCTACAACGTATGGAATATCATTGTTATAGCCAATTAATCGGTCACCATCGTCGTATTTTAAAGTTACTTGACGGTCACCATTCCAAAAGGAATTCATGTTGCCATTCACATCATAAAGGTACCTGAAAATTAAAATTGCATTTCAATAAAATAATAATTTTCTAATTAGTGCAATTCATTGCCTAGTAGCAACCATGCTAAGTGAGATTTGAATAACATGTACATTTTTTAGCTTAACCATTATGTTATGGTCAACTATGATTAGAAATATTAACTTAATAATGAAAAGTAATTTATTCTTTGAATATGTTGGTTTCCAATGAGAAATATATTTCTAATTCTTTTTGATGGTTTCATAAATTCTAAAGCCAATTTTCTCAATTTAACTTTAAAATGACGTTTTACATGCTCTTTTATCCCTTAGATGCAGATGGGAAGCCGGTGTTTCTTTTGCATATTTTTTTCTAACATTCTAATTAAAAGTAAAAAACATTTTGGTATTTTTTATTATAGTTATTAAAAAAATCTGTAAGATTATGGGAACTATATTTATACTGAAATATAAAATCCCGAAAAAGTAGTTTGATAACAATTTTTTTTCATTCATATTAAAATATTTATCAGTAATTATTTTTGAAAATTAATGAAATTTCAATGATGAATAACTGTTTCTCTTAGGTTTAAATAAGTGCAAGTGAATGCAAATTTTTTAAAAGAATTATTGTTTGGAAGTGAGCCGTGTTTGAAAGATTTTACTTTTGACGCAGAAAAAGACTCCTTTATCACATGCTGCGTTTTATAACCATATATTATTAAAATAATAAATGTAATAATATAATATTTTTCTTTTAGTTAGACGTAGATTATTAAAACTGTGTCAAAGGGTTAAAAAGTTCCAACATAGTAAGAGGGCACCCAAGAGTGTAGTTCAGTATAGATTACTAACGGCTGAAATAATAAAATTTGCATTGCAGTACAAAATAATGGTATTTAAAATTGAGTTAAAACATACCTAAACCTACGTCTTCCAGAAACTTCTGCAAGATATCCATCCTGCGTGTACTTATATTCAGTTATTTCTGTGCCAGTATCTTGTTCAGATTTCGACATCGTTTTAAGCACTCGACCCCTGTTGTCGTAATGAATCGAAAGAGAATAAACTTCTCTGTTCCAGAGAGTGATCGCCAACAACGAGATAAATCCGTAAGCATCATGTCCGATTGTCTTGCTGAAGTGCCTTTGCTCATCTTGAATAAATACATTGTTGACTTTCGGTCTGTGAACGAGGAACTGTTGAACCTGTTCTATGGATCCAGACTGACCAGTGAATCTGTAGCGGGAATCTGCTACAACTTTACCAGCTGCTTCAATTTCAACCACTGTCACTTGTCCTTCGTGACGATACCGATATTTCAGAGTATTCAGTTTGCTTTCTGCAGAGAAACGGATTCTCTCTTCCTTAACAAGTATTCCTTGGTACCTGAAACGGTAGAAAAACAAAATGGTTTTCTCATTTACAAGGTGTATGCTTACAACTTGTAAATGAGAAAATCAAAAACCAAACCATCAAGGTCATATTTCATTTGTTCTATAAAGGCCTAAGGGAAAATATTATGATAAGTCACAGTTTTAAAAGTGTTCTAGAGAGCGGTTTCTCAGTTCCGGAAGAGGACTTTATTTTTGTATATTTAATTTTTAACATTTATTTTTATACATTAATTTTTATATATTTATTTTTATATAGTTAGTTTCAAGCATTCATTTTCATATATTTATTTTTACACATTCATTTATATACATTTATTTTTATATTTTTATTTTTAAACAGTTTTTAAACATTTTTTTCATATTTTTATTTTTATACTTTTATTTTTATACATTTATTTTTAAACATTTATTTTTATACATGTATCTTTATATATTTATTTTTATACATTTATTTCCATACATTTATTTTCATACATTTATTTTTATGCATTTATTTTCATACATTTATTTTCATACATTTAATTTTATATATTTATTTTTATACATTTATTTTCATGCATTTATTTTAATACATTTATTTTCATACATTTATTTTTATATATTTATTTTTATACATTGCATTTATTTAGTTACAGTATAGTTACATTTAGTTTCGTATATTTATTTTTATGAATTTATCTTCTTCACGTTTGCCTGTTAAACCATCAACATTCCACAACTTATCATGGCGTATACTGCAACAAATTCTAGATCAAATTTCGGTGAAAAGTACCGGCACTTAGGGTGCCGGTACTTTTTACCTGGAAATCCCCGAAAGGAATAAAATTCTGATATACCGTAATTTTTAGTGCAATTGCAGTAAAAACACAGAGTCATTCTAATTAAATATTGTTGTAAAAATTGCTGTACAAGTAGTAATATCATATATCTATTGTAGTAATATCATTTATTGCAGTTATATCATATATCTCTTTACATTCAAATTTCACTGTAACGGAGTTTCTGTAGTGTTTCAAATTCAAAATATATGTTTAATGAATTTCGTTACTGTAGTCTTAATTTTACATTCTGTTGGAATTTCATAAATACAGAATCAGGCAGCAGTACATTCTGATGCATAACAATTAAAAATAAACATTTTAAATTTATTTTGAAACTTAAATCAAAATTTTAAAAAGAAAGGATGTCGAAGATTCAATAATTTTACCTAAATTCACTTCGTATCTCCAAATTTGGTGTCTTTTTTGTCCATGACTTGATTAAGGTCTTGTGTTCCAAATACGTGAAATCGGTCCGTTCTTTACCACAAAACTCAGTTTGTAGACGACCGCTTGAATCATAAGCGTAAACAACCCTACCAGAATGATCAGGATACATCTTGGCTAACAGCAGACCATAATCATTGAAATGCATCACAAAAGGTGACTTAACCCCAGGACTGAGGTAAAGAAGCTTGTAAAATCCCAACGATGTCTGCACGGCGACTTCATGTTTGTGACCATTTGGTGTAATGATAGTGTGGAGGCCGCCTGTGGTATGGTACTGCAGGAGATAACGACTTCCACTTGGTAGAATCAGTTCACTGGGCTATAAGAGAGATGCGGAATAAAAATATCAATCCCATGCAGAATTGAAATATACATAATATATTCGTTTCTCCCTATCTACATAGTTTGCACATTGTGAGACTTTTCTTTTATTTCCTTTTAGATTGTTGAAAACTTTTTTTTCTCTTATAAATAATTCCAAGGAATTTTTTATTTTTTTTAATCTTCGTGAAAGGGGTCCTGGAAAAAAAAACTAGTATAAAATGAGATAGCTGACGTTTTCATGTTTATGAGAAAACTAAGGTCGGAAATTTGAATATTCTGCAGCGTGTATTGGGAGTTTTATTATTTAGATAGCTCAGTTCCTGGAATAATCAGCAATGATTTCCGTCGGATTTTTAGATTAAAATGTATTGTAAGCATCAAGTTTGCGCATAACTGATATTTTTTATGTTTATTTTTCGCCTTCGGCAACTTTTTCTTAGATATTTTAACATATTTTAAAGTGATTCTTCAAGTAAAAGAAAACATAATTTTGCCAGAACTATGACTAGTTCTAGAACATATTTATTATATTCTATGAAAGTATCATTTTTGAAACTGAGTTTTTGTTGAAACTGAGTTGCTGATAGCATGTTTTTTTGAACAATCGGTCTTTACTGCACGGAGAAAAAAAGTTCGGTAAAAATGCAGTGATGTATAATAAAAACATTTCTTTTGAAAAAAAAACTACATAATTCTAGTTACTGAAACTAAAATATACTGCATTTAAACCATTCATTTGGTAATTTTTTCATTTATATGGTAACGGTTAACCGGGAATTCTGGTTTTTAAAATTATAGTTCTTATTATTACTCATTTAGTAAAATCGCAAAAAACTGAAAAGTAAATTCAACAGTATATATGGTTTTTATGCCATGCTCTTAGGTATCATGATAAAATTACCAAGTTTTAGCATGTTTTCCAAATTTTACCTCGTAGAGAATAAAACCATATTTTATTGTAAATTTTACTAAAATCATTACCAAAGCACTTCGGGAAAAAATATTGAGCTTTTTGGTTTCCCCAAAAAGCCAGAAATACGGTGATATATGTGACCAAATTCTAGTAGTATTTATAATACTTTTTTTTTTTCGCAGTGTGCCGTTCATTAAAAAAATCAACGTAAGCGACAAGAAATCCAAAATTCAGATCTTTATATATTTGGCATTTATGTATGATAAGCTAAAATAATTTTTTTCCACAATCAATTTTCAGCATCAGTTTCTTGAACTTCTGTTTTAGCATTTATAGTGTTAGCAGTGAAAATAAAATTGTTGTCAAGTCGCTTTTCTAAAAATCTATCGTAAAGTTCTCTCACCGTTTTTTCAAAAGCTCGGCGCGGCAGTAAAATCTGCCAAACTAACACTGCAAAACTGTTTCACCTTGCGAAGACGTATTTGACAGGAAAGCAAATATTTACGAACAAAGACTCGCGACAGGTTTTATATAATAATATGTTTTACCAGATTCAAAAAAGTAAACTGGGTATTTTAATCCCAAAGATGTTTGTTTATCAGACATAGGCAAGTGACTCAGTTTTTAATTACAATAAACTATTAATTTTACCCGGTACGACTCGGGTAATTAAAAAGCCCATTTTTGATTAAAAGATCTGTATGAATAGTATTGTAGTAAATAAGAGCTTACTGTCCTATATTATGACCATTTGTAACTAATAAACGGTAAATTACTATGAAAAACTTTTTTTAAGCCCTAAATGTTTTAAATTTTCCTACTAAATAATCAATCTAGCACATAACTTTAAAATTTTCTTTTCACGATACTGATTGGTGAGAGTCAAGATTTACTAAAATAAGAGTAGCACTAAATTACCACATATCTTTAAAGTTTTTTGTAAAATTTCACAATACTGATTGGTGAGAGTTAAGATTTACTAAAATCGTAACTGACTTTTGGAGAATAATTATTGACTCCACAAATATTTGTACAATATTTTTGACAAACTAATATAACCGTGCTACACAGTTCTTTTCGTTCAACCCTGCTGAAAATTATGTCACTGAATTGGCACTTTTATTTTCGGAATATTAACGTCGAATTTTTGTCGTTATTTGTTGCCCTTCCAGGTGATAGAATAATAAATTCAAAAAGTTACTATATAAATATAGCTCTCAAAATCAAATATTAACCACACATTGTATTGTTTAAGTCATGTTAGTCATATTATTCGTATGAACTGGCATTTCGTAACAACTGCAATTTAATTTTATTCAGTTTCATTGACTTTATGTAAATTAGGCTCAAAAAAACCCGTTTTAGAAGCATATTGAACATATGATTTTATATCAAGCTTTGAAAACATCAATTCCGTAACCCAACCAAAAATTATCTGAAAAAACTAATTATGATTTCCTCTGTTTTGGTCAAACACAGGAAACCCAAAATAAGTAATTAAAATAAAAATACTATAAACTCCCTATAAAACCAATCTTTGGATAAATAGAACGGTATCTTCGAAAGTCTCGAATGTTTTTTTACAATAATTGAAAAAGGAGAAACAGGTAGCAATGCTGATCTTAAATAAAACTCTTTCATTCGGTTGTAAAATTCTTTTTACCTTATTATCATACTTTTGTATCTATATGCATTAAATTTAATGTAAATCTGTTGAAAAAAATTGACTTGTTTAATAAGTATACAAACGAAAATGATTCTGTTTTATCTTTATATATTCTTGTGAATTTTTTCATATATCCTAACTATAAAACTCAAATTCTATATCTATCAATATTTTATGGAAAAATGAAATGCTATCTTGTGATTAATCTTGTATATAAGCAAGCAGTGAGAGATTTTGACAATGAAAAACTCATTAGTAACTGATGTACAATGGACCAAAATTAAGTAGAAATTCCTAGTTGAGGTGGCATATTTTAAATTATAACAGTCAAAACATATTTTTAAATAAATCTAATAAATGCATTCTAATGAAACTGTCTCACAGTCTTTGTCTGAATGTATTTTGTTTGGATTGATCTATGATTTTAATTATGATTAGAAAATTTACGTAACGGCACTTAGCTAGGTCATAGGTATTATATTTTTCGAAAATAATATTCTAGAATTATAATTAAATTTTGAAATTAATAGAAGTAGTGTGTCAACCAAAGCCTGCAATATTTTTTTAACGTAGGATTAAAGGAACTATCTGGAATAAATATTCATTTATTCTACTTATTACATTCATTAAAAAGCGAAGCACTTTTTCAAAATTTATATATNAATTTTTACAGTTATATATATGCTTGTCCAGCAAACGATCTTCCGTCATTTAGGCATTTACAGGGCACATTTTTCTGTCCACTTTTTCAGGGGCACCATATTAGGTGGGCAAACGTTGCTCCCACTGAAAGGACAGGTAGTTCAGAGAATGAAAAAGCATCCATGTCTTACTCGGGATTCGAACTCAGAACATTTCTGATGCAAGGCCGTTTCCCTGACCCCTACACACGCCAGTCGGCTATATAATTATATAGTTTTTATTCAATTAAAAGCTTGATTTAAACTTTATTTAAAACAAGCTTTGGAGAAAAATGTCTCAGTAATGATGGTGATAATATTCAATATCTAATTATCTGTCTTCTGTTTTGAATAAAGAAATAAAGTTGAAATAAATCATACCATATCAACTATTTTCTTGTCATATTTATACATAATGCCATTGTTGTCCGAATGCCGAACTTCAACTAATCTTCCTAAAATGTCAAAGTCATAGTTTCTGATAAGGTGTCCTCTTTCCCATTTTGTTAAGCGTCCGAATTGGTCAAATACTACTTTGACCGGAGTGATATTTTGAGGTGATTGCCATTGTATTGAACGGGCCATGACGTCATAGGAAGCGGTGACCAGTGGAACTTGGTGTCGGTCATATATGATTTCGGAATTCTGGTCTCGGTCAAAGACTACGCTGAAGATGAGTTCTCCGTTCCGCTAAATTTAATTAAAAAGAAATAATTAAGCTATTTATTTTCTGGAATATTTAAAAGAAGTGCAATTAAAAAACTTATGTACAGAATATTATGAATTTAACACACTTAATCTATATTTTAGAATCATCGTCAAAAATGAAGCCAATATACATTTGGCGTTGCAAATTAATATTAGATGAGGAAATAAAATGCTATGTAAATCTAAAAGATGATTTCTAAGTAAGGTGAAACTGGTAATGTAAAAATATTTTTAATTGCTTCAGGAAACAGATCGGAATTGCAAAACACTGGTTTTTCAATGAACTTCCTCCCCTCTGATTTAAAAGATTTCAATAGAGCTTTTTTCTCATGCCAAAATATTTATTACACTGGGGAACAAATTTTTGGTTGCATTTATAAAAATACCTGCTCTTGCCTGATTCGGGTGGGGAATTTCTAATCTGAAATTACTTTTTCTCCAATAAATGCAAATTTTTTAAAAATTATATTTTCAGTCTATTTGTTTGCGAAATGTATAAGTTAGAAAATGCTTTAAATAATTGGAGGAAGAATAAATATTGAGAAAAACTTCTTGGGGAGTTAGGGCACATCGTCAAGATAAAAATTGCGTAGGAACTCATCCCCAGAAGCGTCCTCATACGCGGCTAGGGGTGCTTCCTCATTGTAAGTTGTTCAGAAGCACATGAAGAAAATATTCATAATAGGAGAGCACCCCTAGTGGCGTAAGACATTTCCAAGCATGGGTTCTTATGCAGTTTTGATCCAGATAACGCGACCTAACTCCCCAATAAGTTTGTCGCAACATTTAGGAAAATTTACTAAAAATATAATTTTTCGAAAAAATCTGTCGCTCAGAGAGAAATTGAATGCAGACTAGAAATCAGCGATACGAACGTATCTAAGATTTGTTAAAAAATTTTATGCAACGAAAAAATAATTGTTTGCTTTTTTGTTTCATATTCAGCACGGATACCAAAAATATACACCAAGGGCAGTCTTTATAGAACCCCGGTATATTCCAGCTTCTAAAAGAAAATAATTCGCGAATTTTATTAATATATATTTTTTCAAATTTTAACACATCACGTTCAGTGAGTTATCGCACTTTCTTTTAGATGCAAATATTCATGAAAAACAAATGTCTATGACCTAGTCCTGTGTTTTAAACTCGACAAATTTAATATTAACTAGAACTATTGATCTTTCGGACAATTTAGTTGGAAGATCTCCCAAACGTTTATCTTATTTTGTTCTCTTCTCCCCGTTTATTCAAAGCATCGAAGTTTAAAATTTTTCGAATTCTAAAGTCTAACATGTTGTTTTAAACATCTATGAAAGAAACTATACTTGAAAAATCAATTTCTTGAATATTTTATTCATAAAATCAAAAATAAAGCGCAGTTTTCCATTTTGTTATTTTCAAGTCATGCTAAAATCAATGTATTAAAGTTTTGAAAAGTATTGCAAAGTTATTTTAAATTTAAACTTGTATTTGAAAGCAATAAATTTTAAAATATTCTTTAGTTGAACATTTGTTCTCGTTATAGTTACTATAACGAGATTTAATTTCTCCTAATTTTGAGAAGTAATTAAAGCTTTTTTTACAAATGAAATTAAATTAAATGAGTTGGTAATATTTCATTTTCTTGCTTATCATGCGTAATTTGTTTTAAAAATTATTTTAAAATAAATTGTAATTTTTTTACTAATATTTGTAAAAATTTATAAATTATTTTCATTTGAACATGCTTGTTTTCGCTAAGTCGTCGCAGTTATTTTGCAGAAATTTGATTTCATTTTTTCTGAAGTTTAGAAATAATTAAATGCAATTAATTACAATTGCGTAATTTGACTTTAACACCTATCTTTTAAATTACCTTTTATCTTGCATTTTTAAGCAAATTTTAATTTTTATGTTTGATGTTTATTAATTTTGGAAACAAAAACTGTTTTTTGGATTCTTTTTTTACTTTTAAGTTTTCTTGTGACTTAATTCCTTAAAATGTCTTAAAAATTCATAACTTTAATACTCTATTATATAATTTTACTGCAAATTTTTTATGGATTTAATTTCTCCGAAATATTAAATTAAAAATAAATTTTTCATGCTTGTTTCATAGCATCAAATGAATACGCGTTTTTTTTATTTATGCTATATCTTACTTCTAATTCATTTATTTTCTTTCAGTTGTTCAATCACATTACAATTGCTTTTGAAATTTAAATAATTTTAACTGCACACTGTAATAAAATTTCAGATCAAGTTACGGTAAAAAATATCCACACTCAGGGTGCCACTACTTCTTACCGTAAACTCTTACTGAACAAAAACTCTGATATATACGTATATACGTACTTCGTACGTATCTTTCGTTTATACTTATATCTTACGCGTGGACAAATTCTGGATCAAATTACCGGATAAAGTACCGGCACTTTTTACCATAAAATCAAGTTTAATCATAATATGTTACGGAACGAAAAATCAGATGTAACGATAATTTTTACAGTAAGGGCTGATAATTTTTACAGTATATCTGATGATACAGTAAATATCACAATGTTTCATCAAATGCAATGTCATCAATTTTAATGTAATATCATCACATAAATCACTGAATCGCTCTAATTAAATAAATATTTGTTAAATTTAGGGTATAATATTTTACGGAAGATGTAACCAAAGTGCCAGTACACTATACCGCAATTTGATACGGAATGTTTCATATTGCAGCTGTTTTTTGTTTTATATTGAAACGTGTTAAAAATTATATTTTCTGACTTGAACTTTCTTCTAACTCTAGTAACATGTCGGTTGCCATTTACCATATACCGTAATTTCTGAAGTAATATTTCCTGCAAAATCGCTGTATTTCTCTAGTTAAATATCTATGACTTTAAAAATTATGGAATAATATTTTACGGAAAAATGAATTTTACGGATAATGCACACAAAAGGCTAATACTTTATACTATAATTTGATTCGCAAATTTTTACAGTACGGCTGATTTCATGGTTATATTAAAACATGTAAAAAGTTATTTAATGTACCTTGAACTTTCTTCCCACTCGTGTAATATGTCGGTTACCATTTTTACCATCAGCGTGAACAAAGTAATGCCATTCCAGATATTGTACATTATCATCACTAAATGCCATTCTCATTCGGGCAGGTAAAGGAAACATTTCACCGGACACCGGATTGGTGCTGGACAGCACTGGATTGGGTACAGTTTCCACATCTAATTTGCTCGAATCTCTTTGGATCACTGATAAACTACCATCAGCATGCTGTGTTATTCTTTCTTCGGTCGATCCTAAAAAAATAAGTTTTAAAAATAATTAATGTTGAGATAGAAGGTAATTGCCCGTGATAAACAAATGAGATCTCATTTGATAATAATTTAACTGTTAGAAATTTAACGGACAAAAAGTGGCCAAATAATATTTATTTAATTGTTATTTTACCATATTGAACAAAAACTGTCAAATAACTACAAAATAAAGGTATTCAAACTGTAATCTGTGAGATTGTTATTTTACCATATTCACCAAAAACTGTCAAATAACTATAAAATAAAGGTATTCAAACTGTGAATTGTGAGAAAAATCGTTTCTTAAATGTTTTGACATTTTTCTTAATGAGAAAAATGTCTTAAATGTTAGAAACAGTAAACATTACGGTTAATTGGAGGGACAGACTGTTGCCAGTCATTTTACAGTTATTTTTGAATAAAAATTTGTAATGTGCACTTTCATAGCTTTTTAATGGAATATTTCATTTGAAAAATTTCGTTTATCGTTTTTAAAATAACTAAGTTAACTTAGCATGTTAAAGTAGCATTTTTACATTAGCTATATCACTGTTAGAGTATCAAAGGGTATATGTCAAATAAAAGGAAGAGTTATTTGGTGATTGATAAAATATGACGAAGGAGATCTCTTTTTAATATTTATTGCGTTTATTACAAGTTGTTCAAGTAGTTACTCATGAAAATTGCCAATTTATTCGCCAAGATACAGGAAACAAAGCGAATAAAATCAATTAAAAAATAATAATTTTAAATACAAAATTATATGCTATGAAATACTGATGATAATTATCCGGGATTTATTCTAAGCACAAACAATAGTTTTAAGAATGTTATTCTGTGATATAGTGAAGACAACTTTCTGGCACTTGGTTTTGCAGAATAAAAAAAATTTATTGGAGAAAAAAAAATTAGTTTTAGTTAATACGATTTTTGAACACTCTACCCGCACTCTAACCCTTTTACTTTACGAAGTTTTTTTTAAAATTAGTTTTGTTTCTAATAAACTCGATTATCGAATCTGTAAGTAAACTTTAATTTTTTAAATGTGTGAAATGTAAATATGTCAAATTAATTTAAACGAATAATAACATAACAATAAAATAATAAATAAAATTTTTTGACGTGTTAACAAGTAGTTAAATTTTTTTGAAAAGAGATAAACGCATTTTAAAAAAAAGTGAAGTTACAGGTAACGATTAGTAAATCTTAGTGATTTATTTTCTTTTTTGAAGAACTGAAGTTACAAGTTACGTTTAGTAGTGTAGTAGAGCTTAACGGTACTCGTTAAAGATGAAGATCTTTCTAAATGATAATTAGAATCAGTAATAAGTATATAATGTTAATTTATTACCATAGGCTGTATATAATCATAAAAATGTTTCAAAAAAAATTCTTGTTGTATTTATTATTAAAGTGACCTAGGTTTTCGTATTTGGATTGGACAGCACAGAAATTTTTCTTTAATATACAACTTTCTCATTAAAGAACAAAGGTTAAAACTGGTTTTTCAAAAAAAAAAAAAAAATTGAGGTTGAAAGCTATTAATAAAAATTATCTTTTTGAAAGTCATTAAATTTTCATTAAAATTTTTTTTATTATTCCAGCTTTTTTAAATGAAGCACCTTACCGAAACATTTTTCCAAGCATTAGTCTAAATCATTTAAAGAATGGTTCAAAATATTGGTATAGTGCAACAAAATTTAATTCAATTTACAAAATCCGAAATACTGAACAAAATGTTTGAAACCCTTCAAAAAAATTAATACATGTGTGTAAATAAAATGTGTGTAAAATGAAATATGTGGGACGTGGCAAAGTAATAAAGGTTTTCTGCATAAATAGAAATTTTTTATTGAATTTAAGAGCAGTTACAATATTTTTTCCAAAAACTGAAACAGATTTAGTTATTCATGTATATCAGTAGATATAAATTGTAAATGAATTTGTTGTATCTATACAAACTTAAGTTTAATGTATAAAAAGCCTATTTAGCGACACAAATTGTGTAATTAGAAAAATAATGTATCTTTTAAGGAAAAAGAAATGGTTAGCATAAGATTTGCCTTGGAAAACTAAGTAATTTAAGCTTTACTCCACAAGATGGCGGTGCATTCTTTGATGTACGATTGATGCAGCCTAATAGTGCTCTTTATAAATTATCTTTGCGAATATTATTCCCTTACGGTGGTAATTCATTTCTGCCATCGAGAAAGATTTTGGCAATGAGAGAGAAGTAGATATAGAGGCCATGTTCATCCTTCAACGGAATATTGCCTTGACATAATTCATATTTCTGTCATATAATAATTTATGACGTGAATGAAATGTTTTCATGAGAGATTATGAAATAAATAATAAGTGATTCGAATTATTATATATATAATCAAATATCTAGTTAAATAAACTTGTTTTCATATATATTTAATATTTTACCGATTTAATAATGTACAGTGAGTTAGATGGGTCACAAAACAAATTTTAAATTGAAGGGAAATTAAATTACTAGATGTAAGTACATGTATATTCCTTATTTAGTATTTTCTTTTGATTATTTCATAGAATAAAGAAGTTAAATAAAAAATAAGAAAATGTCAAATATTAAATATTTACATTATTTATGTGTCTGTTTTATTGATGTGATTGAATAGCAACTTGCCTAATGGATTAATAATATGAACAAAATGGGAATTTAAAGTTAAATATTTATTATCGTAACTGTTTTACGTATGGGAATCTCGATAAAAGTAATTATCAGTTCTTATTTGCATTACTAGGGAAAAAGAAAGAAAATATATTACAAAATTTAAAACGAATTTAGATTTTAATCTTTAGTTACTTTCTGACTAAAAATAATAAGTTTTAATAACATGAACATTAAAACATGAAAAATGAACAATTTATCTAAACATTCAATATTATTGAAAAGAGATAATAAAGCATCTACGATGAATACGCAGTGTTGGATTGTTATAATACCAATATTATACTAAATGCAAATAGATACTTGAGCCTAAATGATATTTTTCCAAATCATAGCATTTTTGCTCAAAATTCATAAACGCTACATCAGATTATCACATTCTTTATGTAATTATAAATTGGATAGACGCTTCATTAATACTGCTTATTTTATAATTCTATTTCCACCTCATAATTGAAATTTTATGTGCGTATACAGAAAATTACGATTGCTTATTCGTTTTTTGTTGCAATAAGGTTTCTGACAAGTTCCGACAACTTCTTTTTATAATATATTAATATAAAAAAAAAGAAAACTAGCTTATTCGTTTTATTATGTGTAAACTTATAAAAACTTATAAAGACTAGCATTATTATTTTTCTAAATGGTCAGTTTTATATAAAAATAAGGAATTTTTTTGCATATAAGATAAACAATGTAAAAAAATTTCAATCTAAGTATAGCAGTTCCATCTAAGTATAGTATTCTAAGTATAGCAAGTGCATGTACTAAATTTCTTTAGTATATGCTATTGCTTTTTCTAAAACAAAAAGCAAGGGTATGCAATACTGAGTTGGGGATCAATGTAGTTAAAAAAGCAAATTTTTAAAAGTTTTCGCACTTGTATTTGTGAAGAAACATGCATAAAAAATTAAATTCCATTTTTTTCTTGGTTGTCTGTAGTTCTAAACATGTATGTTATGATTATAAACACTCGTGAGAAATTGTAAATATTTATTTCATAAACAGCATGAGATACCGTGTTTAAGGTGGTCTAAAATATGAAAAAAAAATCTGAATTTGAGATAAACGCATTTAAAGACGTTAAATCATTAGTCTATCCACTGTTATCACCTTTCATAGAAACTGCTGTACCATTGTAAATAATTGGAGTTCAAACAAAAGTATTTTTAAAAAGCTAAGAGTGCAGGAATTCAAAATTTATAACCAACTCTATTTCGAAAGTTTTTCTCAAATGTTTTAGTCAGTACAGTAAGTTTCCAACATCAATAACGTGGAAAATCGTTTCTCTCCAAAAGTTATGACATAGTGAAGATGAGACGAGCTGGAGAAAAATGGTTTCAAAAAACCTAAAAATATGTTTTTTCTTCCTCAGTATCAGATTTCATGAATATAAACCATTCGTACTCTTTGATCTCCATACGCATACGGCGTAAAGGAGAAATAATAATGTTTTTTTTCATCTTTCTTATTAAATAAACTATACAATTTAAATGGAAAGTAAAATTAGATTTGTTCAGTTAATTTAATTGCTTGAAGCGTAACTCTTACAAAAAATTATTTTCGTCAGTTATTCTAGATGGAAATGTTTTTTTTTTTTCTGGAGTCATTCTTAAAGCAATTGATTTCGGGAGAACATTTTTACATGGTGAGGTACGGAAGCGTTATTCTTACAGGAAATTAATATAAGGTTATAATCTTACAGTATATGTTTTTGTGGCTTTTTCTTAGAGTAAATGATTTCGTTATTCTCACAGAAATTTATTCAGATGCAAGTAAACAGGGCTTTTCCTTTTACAAAATGGTCTTTTTACAATTTAATTTTAAAAATGGAAATTGAATTTCATGCATCACTAATACTAGGGTTAATTAATTATAGGGATATCAATTTGATATAATTAAAAGTCACGCAAAACTTTTTAAATATTCTCGCATTATAACATAAAAAAACATTAATTTTTAATGCTTGGTTTTAATATTCTCATTCATTTTATTGTATTTTGCTCTGCTCAAAATTCCAATTATTCACATAAATTTTGTAAGTAATAAAACATTTTGTACATATAAAAGTATCGTATATATTAAAACTATTAAAATGGATGTATTTCTTTTATAAATTAATTAATATAAAACTTTTAAATTAGATAAATAGGATATACTCAATAAAGCCTTTTAGAGTTTTCCTTACAGACAGTTATTATAAATAAATAAATAAAAAGAACTTTAGCAATGCATTTGATAACTTTTAAATAATAGTCTATGTTGGCAATCAATTCACTAGGGTGTTTGTTTTTTCGAGAAA